GTAGATTTATGTTGATAATAATCGGCATAATATAGCCATTTTTTTCTATAAAAAAAAAATCCTGAAAGATAATAATATTTGTTTTAAATCTTCTTATGATGCGTATTGTGACACGTGTTAAGTCGGTTAAGCAGACTTTGACACGTGTATACAATTGATATAATTATTTTTCAATTAAATTTAACCATATGTCAAAATATTTATTTTTTCGTCTTTTTATTTGTAAAATAGTGAAAAGTAAACCAAATTTAAACAGGATTAGGAAAATCTAAACCTAATTAAAATAGGTGAAAAGAAATTATTTTCAATTAGAATTAGTTATAAGTGAAAATATTTATCTATCTTTATTTGTAAAATAGTAAAAAAATAAACCTAATTTAAATGAGATTAGAAAAATCTAATTATTTAGAAATATGTGAAATAATTTAGAGAAATTTCAAAAAATGCCACTTTTCAAGTACCACTTTATAAGTGCCACTTTACAAAAATGCCACACTTTTGAAATCTTTACGAAAATGTCACACTTTTGAAATTTTTACAAAAATGCCACTTTTTCAAAATTATTTTTTCTTTATATCATTTATGTTTGGGTTAATTATGTTCTATTAGGGTTTAGTTTTGAGTGTTTAGAGGGTTTTAGGTGTCAAAACATGTTTTAGGGTTTAGAATTTTAAGATATATGCTCTATAAATCTATAATTAGTGGTATTTTAGTAAATAGACACCCCTAACTGGCATTCTTGCAAATGTGCACACAAAAAGTGGCATTTTTGTAATTGCCCCAATAATTTAATTGAATATCAAATAATAGAAAAAATAAATATGACAATAAAATAGATAAATATTTGATCGATTTCTCTATAAATATTTTTGTAGTGACATTCTCAACTTTATCTTATCATTTCATTGGGGTGACCTAATTTTGTCTTCCGTTTTGATCGTGTTTGATTTGTTTTCCGAGGGTTATAAAATATTTAGAGACTAAAAATAGTTCAAATAAAAATATGGGAATAGATTTATTAACATTTTGAAGTATAGATATTTGAGTAGTAAAATAGAAAAATAAAATAGAAAAGTACATTTAATTTAAGTATGGATAAGAAAAACTAATAATTTGAAAATATGTGATAAAATCTAATTCTAAATCAAATAATATTTATTTTTTCTTTTTTCTAATCGACATAAACATCAAAATTAATAAATAAATATTATGTTTTACATTTATTGGGTTTACAACAA